GTATCAGATATCTATACTTTTCTCATTAAACACAGCGTGCCGTCCATACAGTTATTATACTCACTCACCTGTTTTTGAATTTAAAGTAAATATTTACACATTTAAATATGTATACATAACATAAAAAGTAAATATGCGGACATAAGAGTGCCAATAGTAAATATATAGAAAGCCACTTTGCATAATACTGAGCCAAGATTGAATATGGCAGTTTTACCGAATATTATAGCCCAAGCGACCGAAACTTCTAGAAGCGGACCGCACGGCGGTGAGTCTATTGTATCTAATATTTCAAGGCTCCTTTCTCCCCACCACACCGTCCTCAGATTCGGCATAGAATTCGAGCAGATGAACAGCTGTGAACCGGCTCTATCCCCTCTCCTACTAAAATTTGGATGCTCTGTCTTTGTCTCTCCCGCTCTGCTCCGAATTTGCCAGAGTGACGCCAAGCTATCCAGTGCGACCGTTGAACTTGTTCAAATCGGAGCTGCCACAATGTCTAACGTACATCCCTTTTGTGTATATTGCTCCAAAAAAAGCGGAAAATTACATCTTTTTGATGCGGCCAAATTAAATAAGTGTTTATCGATATTAAAAATTCGGAAAGACGGTGATTTGACTTTCTCCAACGTTGTGTTGCCGGAACATCCGAACAATTTTCAAAGATACCACAGCCAGTGCCATAACCGTTTTACAGCATTACCGCCTAAACAACGAGGATATGATCCCAAAAAGCAGGCATCTTCATCTTCAAGTACAGAGTAAGTACTTATATTTTTGTTGCAAATAGTATTTTTTAATGAAATATATACTTTTGGTATATACCTAGCTATATAGCTATACAGCTATATCAACGAATATAGACTTCTTATACACTCTAAAAAAATTTTGTTTAAATTTGCGCATATTAAGATAGGTAACCAGTTTCCTCTCTAAATGAATGCAAATTTACACACCGTGTTAATTAAATTAAACACTGCTTGTTTACTTTTACTTATCATATGTGTGGCGTAGAACAAATTTCAAATTTGTTTGTTGAGTTCTAAACATTTATTGTTCACATTTTCACAGTTTACACATAAAATGTTTAAAATTTGCTCTAAAAAATGTTTGTTTAAATTTACGCATATAAAGAGAGGTAACCAGTTTCGTCTCCTAATGTGTGCAAAATTAAACACTGTATGTTTACTTTTACATGTAAAATTTGTCACGTAGAGAAAAATTACATACAAAGTGTTTAAAATTGAGTAAATATGAGCACTTAATGTTTATTATTAGTAAAAAATATATTTTTACTTCAAAATTTTTTACAATTTTAAACATTTCATGGGTATATTTTTGTGTATTTTTTAAACACCTCATGTTCAAAAACAAATCTTGAACATCTTGTGCGTATATTTACACAGGTTCTGGTTGAAAAATAAACACTTTTCAGTAGTAGTTTTACATGCACTTTTTAGAGTGTAGAAGAAAAGTCACGGGTTAAAACCGAGGGACGAAATCTTGGTACACAGGTATAGTGCGTTATAGGTTTCTCCTGTATAGTCCTGGTACACATCTATCGTGTAGTATAGGCTCTACATGTATTTCAAAGTGTGACCCTGGCGCCAATGCAGAGTGTTCTTCTATACGCAGTCTATATTCGTTGGCTATATAGCTAGATAGCTATATAGCTAGCGTGTAATTGTGCTGTGCAAAATGTATTTACTTATATTTTTCGCATAGCGTTTGCGTCTTTTTAATATTTTTAGTCGTACTCTTTTCTATTATGCATTATTCATTATTTTTTTTATTCACGATAGTGCTGTGGAAGGCGAGCATTTCGCTACAAACGAGGACGTTGCTGAAGGCGTCCATGACGGTACATGCGAGGCTGCAGTTCAAGGAGAAGGCGAGGTTGCTGCTGAACCCGAAAATGTGGATGCAGGCGACGATGTCGATGGGGGCGAGGATGCCATTAATCCAGTCGATAACACTGTAGATGACGATGCTGACGTATCGGAAGTTGCTCAAGAGGTATCAAATAATCCTACTTGTATTTTTTGTGATAAAAGTAGGAAAAAACATCAAAGCCACGAGCAACAATTGCATGTATTAGAGAAGGAAAAGGCATTGGAGAATATACAGCAAATCGCTATGGATTTAGACGATGTACAGTTTATTGAAAAATTGCATAACTTGTGGTTAGAAGAAAAATTAATATTTTATCATGCGATATGCCGAAAAAAATATGAAAATAGAATCTCAGCGAAAAAAAGCAAAGAGAAGCCAAAAACAGGGTGGCATACAGCTCGCAATGTTCATCCTCAAGCGTATGAGGAAATATGTCAGTTTGTGTCGAAAAATATCATCGCCAAGAATCAGTCGTTTTTCCTGTCGTTTTTCTCTCATTTCATTATTTGTCAGTTTCAATTTTTGATTATTTTCTGTTTAATTTTATCATACAATTTTAATTTAAAAACAAAACTGAGTTATATTTGTAACAATTTTGGATAGCATGTCACCTTTTTTTTGTAATTTATAATCAGATTTGAATTAAAATTTTGCTCTTGCGTGTTAAATGTTTATATACTATTATCATCTATATCTTTTAATAAATTATTATTATATATGTTTACAGATCCTGACGAAGATCTTTCACGGGTCGACATCGCTGTCAGTGATAATGACAGCGATAATGAGTACGATGGCGATGAATCCGAAGAAAGCGAAATTTAAAATATTAGCTATTCACGTATTAGCACACTATGTATATTTATTTTGAATTTTAGTATGCGTTTTGTAAATAAATAATACATTTTTAAGTAATTAATAGTAAACCTACTTTTTATTATCCTCCTTTAGAGCAGAAAAGTTATACGTATCTATCATCCAATAACTGCATGGACGGCACGCTGTGTTTAATGAGAAAAGTATAGATATCTGATAC